GAGAGAGAGAGAGAGAGAGAGTCCGTGGGGTCACATCCGTCTCTGACTCCGAGGCCGGCGGCGCGTGCGGGTCGAAGGCGTAGGCGCCGTGCGCGTCGGAGAGCTCCGGCAGGCGCGGGGGCTCCAGCCTCGGAGTTCAGAGGCAAAGGCGCAAGGGGGCGCGGCTGACCTTTTGTGCTGCCTTTCCTGCAAACGTCCAGGTCCATGGCTTGGCAGTGTCGTAGGAATCTTCCGGCATGAGGGCGCCGTCAACATAAACCTCTGCAGTCAGAACTGACCGAGGACTTCTACAAGACGCGGCTTCTCAACAATGGGAAGATGCAGGTTGCCTCCAGTCTGAATGGCTGGGTCAAGAAGATGTCAAGTCGGATCGCTTCGTCCTGTCATCTTCTGCCGAGCTCGTGATGTCTAGCTTCCCTCCGAAGGTGAAGATCCTGGTTGTCGTTGAACCAGAACAGTCGGTGGTGCTTTGGTGGAGATGTAAACCTGCGGGCAGGCAGAAATGCTGCCGAAAGATGCTTCAAGACTGAAGACAGAACGTGAACGCTAAAGCTCGCACATGGTGAGGTTGTACATGTCGTTTGGACCTGTCAGAAACAAATCAACCTAGCATGCCCTCAGCCTACACGCGCTGAATGCAAGCATCACAAGCCCATTAGGAGAGTACGAATCTTCCAGTTTCGGTCTTGCTCAGCTTCGTCAGGAATGCAACCTCAAGGCTGCAAGAGGTTGGACCTGCTGCGACCATTTCTGGACACGGCGATCTCGGGGTGCAGCCCTTGTCAGGCTGCGGACCTGCAACACCGAGGGCTGCTCAAGGGGAGTGGCAGTGGGAGGTACAAGAAGCTGAATCTTCCCACCCGCAGACCAGGTAGAGCGGTCGTCGGAGGCCCTCCAGGCCTCTCTGCACAAGTATCAAGGTTCGTCGGTTCCGAAGGCTATGCTAGTCAGCTGGCCCTGACTCTTGAGAGTGGGTGAACTTGATGCCTTGAACTTGCTGAGGACACGGTGGGATGGACCTCCAACTGCCTCGACAAGCGAAATATCCCGAAGTGAATGGCTACGCAAGGCTCCAGGGCACCTCCCAGGTCATGTAGCGCAGCCGCAGATCAGGACAGCTGTAGTAGCTGCTACCAAACTCCCTTAGTGCGCCAGCACATCAACATCACTTCCGGGCTTGTGCGACACTGTAGGTGCATACAGACACTCCAACATTACATTCACCAGTATTCCTAAAAAGACCGCTGCCACTCTGAGTACACTCGCCAAACCCGTGTTTAAAACTTCTACCTTACAGTGAAGAAGTTGAATTTGCGGGTTCTTGGCTCTCGCACCATGGTCTGAACTCAGAGTGGTACAGGGTGGCACTCTGGACAGGAGCGCCACAGAGCGTCGAGCTGGCACGCTACACTGGGGCCATGTCGTGCAGCTTTGCTCTGCCAGCCCTGGATTGTAGACGGTGACCAACTTAGCAAGGTCATGGGCAACATAACTCAACAAAGCTCTTCTTCCATGAAGCCTGAGGTCCAAGCAGATCCATCCGCTTGCGAGGACCCCAAGAGTGTACCGTCCACATCCGTCAGAGTCTGCAGTGCAGAGTCATCCAAGCAAAGATGACGCTTGAGAGGGCCAGATGCTGGGGCGTCAGCCATCTGGTTTGCACCATCGAGATCTCCGGTCAGCCGAACCTGCAGGCGTCAATACACACACCGGCTAGCGAGAACCGACGAAAACGTCGCTGAATATTGATGTGTTGAAGACAAGTCACCTTGTTGTGAGTGATGCTGGACTCGCCGATCCACATTCGCGCGGTGGCCTGCTGAAGCCAAATAGCGCGCCGAGCGATACAGCAATAACTGGAACTTGGAAGGCTGGACTGCTTTACTGAGAGGGTCAACGGTCTTCCTAGCTGGGAAGACAGGCCGAGTCTGGAAAAGGCCTCCACAGATGGGAGCCAGTTGACTTCGGAGAACAACTGTGGAAACGCAGTGTCGACGTTGGTGGGATTGTACCTCAAGTTTCTGCCCCGGGGTGACCGATCCAGCATCCCAGATCTCAAAACCCATCGCAAGAAGAATCGAAGTAGCGTGTCCTGTCACGAGCACCAGATGCTGGCGTCCAGGGCCCGGGCGTGAAGCTTACGGAAGGCCTTCCGCAGTCGTCGGCAGCGAAATGCCCAAACCTGGACCAGTCGAGGATCCATTGTGAAAATGGATGAAACCCATGGGGTGTATAAGGCGCCAGCGTGATTCCATCCCAATGTGCCTCTGAGTATCGAGAACCTTCTCATGGCGACTCTGGCAGCACGGCTCATGTTGGAGTCTTTGTTGCGACACTGCGCTGTGTTTGCTAAGGCTTGGCACCAAGGCTGCCTATGCGGTGCTCCCATGGCATGACCTCTGGCGTGCTGCATGCAGCATGCAGAGCACAGCATGCGCAGCTGCTGTGGATGTGCAGAATGCGCCCGATAGGGAGCCGGCGCACAACTTCAGGGGCAGCGTCGGTGGACGACAGGCCTTGGGTTGAGACAACCGGCAACGCGAGTCCCCAAAGGTCCCACACTCTGAGATCCAAACTGGGCCGGGCTTGCCCTCCTCGCACAGCTTCGGAATCTTGTTGATCATGTGCGTCATGATGCCGACCTGCTGCAGTGGGGCTGCACAACACCTCCGTGGATGACAAAACTTTGTTCGGGAATCCGAATTGGCATGGCCGCAAATTGGTTCCTCACTATGTGGTTCAAGTGTATCAAGCTTCCTACTTCTGCTACGTTGCTCTGTGTCGGTATGCTGTCCGATTGCCGACAATCGAGTGTGCGAAATGGGGTTTTGCCGACCGCATCTCAGTCCTAGGCAGCATCATGCAGAATTGCCCTGCCACGTCTGAAAGTCAGCACTGCACGGCCCTTCTTCTTGATCTGCTTTCTGTTCTTTTACTTGGACATGTCCCTCCCTCTTGTATTGCTTGCTAGCAGGGGGTCTCGCCGTAGCGGTCTGTCTTGGCTTCCGTTATTGCGCTCCTCTTTAGGCCTCTGCTGGGGTGAGGTGCGTGCTCAGCCGCGCGGACCCGTTGGTGTGCAGTCATTCCGGTGCTGGGTCAGAAAGGCGCTCTTGGTGTGTGCTCGAAGCTGGTGACCGTGTCGGCTTTCTGCTTGGCTCAAGCACTTAGAGTCTTAGAGTCATGGCCAGAGTCAAAAATCCGATCCGAGTCGCAATTATGATAAGAATACTACCAATAAGAGCAGTAGTAGTATGAGCAGCAGCAGCAGCAGCAGCAGCAGCAGTAGTAGTAGTCGTTGTCGTCGTAGTCGTCGTCCTAGTAGTCGTAGTAGTCGTCGTCGTCGTCGTCGTAGTAGTAGTAGTAGTAGTAAAAGTAGTAGTAGTAGCAGTAGTAGTAGTAGTAGTAGCAGCAGTAGTAGTAATAGTAGTAGTAGTAGTAGTAGTAGTAGTACTGGTGCTAGTAGTACTAGTAGTACTAGTAGTACTAGTACTAGTACTAGTAGCAGTACTGGTAGTAGTGCTGGTAGTAGTACTGGTGGTAGTAGTCGTCGTAGTAGTGGTAGTAGTAGTAGTAGTAGTAGTAGTGGTAGTAGTAGTAGTAGTAGTAGTAGTAGCGGTAGCAGTAGCAGTAGCAGTAGCAGTAGCGGTAGGGGTAGCAGTAGGAG